TCAAATAACAAGGTGTCATTTTTTATTGTAAGCTACGCTGTTTGAGATGACATCTTCAGTAATGCAGTCAACTGGTAGGTCATGTCGTTAGTCGTCAGCAATTGACCCTTTCGATATCACACAATATATTTAACTTTATCTCTCTACTTGTGTTTTTAAATGTTAGCAACCCCTATCAAAGTTTTCTATTGCAGCAAAGACTTGCTCTTTAGAGTGCATTGTCAATATGTTTATTTTAAATGTTTCCAAATGTTACGTGTTTTTTGATTCAGAAAATAAGAATCCAATCTGTTTTGAATACAAAATCGATAAAGTTACTCTGGGACGAAAATGTATAGTCAAGTACCTTGGTGTGTGGTTTGACACAAGGCTCAGCTTCAGGAAGCATATACATCAATGTGTGACTGAAGCTGCAAAAATGGATTATATCAAGAAATTGCAGGTGTTGAAGCTTTAAAAACACTATACTTTCGCGTTTGTTACGTCTAGGTTACAATATTATTCTTATGCTTAGAGGCCTTATCATATATACCAAAAGCAGATGCTAGAGAAGTGGTCCCCGGAATATTTGTTGTGTTGATGTTGGGGAAGCCTAGGCTAAGAGGAGCATCAGTCAACAGCTCTTATCCAGTAAGTTCAACATGATCTACTGGAACAAAGAATCAAGGGTTCAGTATCGCTTCTTTAAAGCTTCTTCATAATATCATATATTACTCAGATTCACTATTCCAAATTGATTTTAAGATATGCCCAGTTACGGTTCACTCAGCTGATTTTTTCAGAGTGAGGAGATGGAATACCAACTTACGGTTCAATTCGCCGATACAGCTGTCAAAAATGTCAGTGTTGTCTCCAATAATTGTAATATACATACTAACCCTTAGAGTAGTGTTCTAGCCAGTCTCTCTATCTCATTCGCTCTCTCTCTCTCCCTCTCTCTGAGACTTATTGTTATACAGAGAAAATGTACGAGAGAGAAGCGCGAAGAGTTAGAAGCAACCCGAGAGATGAAGCGACGGGCGCAGCTGCGGCTTGCCGCGTTGCCATCAGCTCACTGTGTTTAACATACGTATTGCATGCTTTCGAGCTTTTCTCTTGTACACATTACTTCTTCCGTGGTATTTGGATCTCTCATTTCTTGACTCCCTTCTTGTGTGAGTTGTACTTTTGTGTATACTCCTAATTCATGTGTTTGTTTCCTTATTGGAAACTGTAGCAATGTTGTTTCCTTTTTTTATTTAACCTTTTGCCTTGGTTATATATTTGGTAAACTTTTTACTTACCGTTTAAGCTGTCCTGTAACCGAAACTATGTTCTGTTGGACAATAAATACTTTGTTCACTTGTATTTTTGTTTGGCCAAGCACAAAGCCATCTATCTTATCTACCTAGACTTGTCGCATAGCCCTGGTAAACATACCCAACTCTAAATGCAAGTCAATCCTTCACTTATCTCATCTATCCGTGGCGCTTCGCCATACAATACTACCGCAAGCAATGGATTTTCCTTCCGATTCATAGACCAGTGACTAGAATTGAAAAAGCGGGATTGCGCTACAAGAGGTTCGGTAGTTACGATTTCAAATCGTTTTAATTCATAATGCATTTATAACTAACATAAAGAACCCACCGTTAGCTTCTCAAAGTTTATCAACGTATGGCCTTGAATGACAAATGAAATCAAGGTCAAGAGGATTTTTGTCGCTTTTGACCCCGGAAATGAGCAGAAGCAATTTTACGCTCATAAATGGAGTTCAGTGAAAATTATTTTAACCTTGTAAGGGGAATTAAGGACATCGTAAAAAATCCTTTCTTCAAAACATTTCATGTCGATAAAGCATAAAAAGGACAGCATAATATGAGCTTCAATATGACCTTGACGACCAAATCTATATCAAGACAAACTGTTTTAATGGTACTCTATACTTTTTGCCCCGGAAATAGATACAACGACAAATTTCACTTTTAACTATGATCTTGGGTAAAGACCGTTTCAACCTTGAACGTTTTTGTCAAGATCGCCATCAGAAATATCAGAGACGTTAATAGAGACAACGAAAATATAAAGACTCAATTCTCCTGGGTATTCCCTGGTGAAACTGAAGCTGGCTTGATACCGGAAACCGATAGAACTGAAAATTTTACTTTTAGACATGACCGTGACCAGGGATCTTCGAGGCAAAAAAGTTCTGACTCAAGGCCATATCTAAAACTAAAAGTTTCTGTTCTCCCCATTAGAAAGCATTGGGACTCTTTAAAAAGATCCTCCTGCTCAATGTCAAATTAAAGATAACCAGTGAATAGTCAGGGAAGATCCTGAATACTGGCAAATACCATTCCCGAACTTTCGTATTACTCTGTATAACATACACTTAAGGCCTCAAAGGAGGCAGAGGAGGGCATCGCACATGGTCTTATGGTATCGCAGGTACTCTTCTCGATAGTATGCGCCGCCGGAGGGGAAATATTTTCCAACCTGTCACCCCCTAGTGTGTGCTAAACGTAATTCCTAATTCCATAACAATCAATGGACTCAACACCATTGTATGATTAATTTTGAAAAAACCTCTCTTGCCTTATGGTGAAGTATCTGCGTTTCTTGGACTATGAAGCACACGTCACGTTTTCCCAGCCCTATTGCATTAGGTATTTTTACGAGGATGGTGCTTCCATTAGATTCCCTTATTCAGATGGTTCTTGCGAGCCAAGGCGAGACGAGGCAACAACCTCCAGCAGGAACAATTAACTAAGAGCAAAGCGAGATGAGAGCACGTTTCGCCCTTTTATTTGTCGTCTTTACTGTCTTAAATAATTCATTCGGCTCAAAAAGAACAGAGTTTGCTATAGGGTTGAAACGGTTTGTGATTCAGGTAGTAACATAGAGCATCTTATCGAAACTTACAGGAGGAAGCTTGAGCTCCTCCCCCTTCAAGCTTCTTTCATCGTATTATTACAACTGCATTCCCACTGAGGAGAAGCGATCGAAGAGGGCCGATGCAAAATTCAGAAAAAGCATTTCGCTTCGCTTCTGTTGGGTTGTTACACATTTACACCCACGTTTCTTGAGACGGTGCTTTTAATTTGCTACTACCCACATCGCATTTGTGTCGAAACATTCTGCAGGGTGTCACAAGAGTCATGGAGCAAACGACAGGGGGTGATAGGGGGGCCATTTGCAATCAGAAAAACTGTATACCACCTTGATCAAAGAGTTCCCGGAGTTGATTAAAAAAATAAACAATACATCCCATTCAAAGTAGTCCCCATTAACTGCAATGCACTTATGGGCTCCTCTCAGTGGCTTTTTGATTCAGTTGAACAAGAAGAGGACACCGGGGGCCAAATCAGGTGAATTGGGTGGTTGTTGAATGGTATTCGTGCTGTTTTTGCCCAAAAGCTCACGGATAATGATGGCATTGTGCGATGGTACGTACAAATGCCTGCATTTTTGTCGGATTGATTCACGCAAATATCTCAAAACACCCAAATAGTACTCCTTGTTGACAGTCTGACCTTCTGGCAAGAATTCACTAAGCACCAGGCTGAAGTAATCCCTGAAAACCGTGAGCATTACCTTCTTTTTCTACTAGAAACGACGCGATTTCTTCGACCTCGGCTTATCCGGCGTGCGCCATTCACTCGGCTGATGGCTTGACTGCATGTCATACTCACAAACCCACGTCTCGTCTCCAGTAATGATGCGTTTGGTAAATGTTGGGTCAAAATCAGCCATGGAAATCATGTATTTGGCGATATCAACACGGTCATTTTTTGCATGAAATTCAAGTCTCTTGGCACCAACTTGGCTGCAACACGCCGGAGACCCAAATCGTTGACCAAAGTGCTTTGACCGGATCCATAAGCAATGCTCAAATCCTCTGCCATTTCTCTGATAGTTAATTTGCGGTTGGTGGTCAACATTTTCTTCACTTTGTCTACGTGTTCTTCTGTTTTCGATGTTGAAGGCCTGCCGCTGCGCTGATCATCGGCGATGGACTAACGTCTTCTGTGAGCCGTCGAAAACGAATGTTTTTTTCAAGGCATCGTTGCCGAAGCACTTTCCTAGTATTTCCATGGTTTGCGTACCGTTGATGCTGTTTTTAACATACAATTTCATGCAAAGGCGTTGTTGTTCATTCAGATCTATTTTGAAAATCCTAGTATATCGTGAACACTCGCAAAAACACATTACTCAACTCGACGAAGCTTTGACAACTGATAATGAAATGACGCCAAAATTCAGAATATCAGCACCATGACAAGGCAAACGGAATTGACAGCCGAGTGCTACGAGCGCCACATTTTTAAGAATTTTTGAAAGAACGCTACTTTTGAGACTGTACTGTTTTTATGTTTTCTTTTGTTAGGTTTCAGTCAGATTCACAGTATATGTTCCTGAATGATAGTTAATGTATATAGGCTAACCTGCAATTTTGTCTGTTGTCAACAAGATTACAGTATATCCAACGAAGCTTTTACAAAACATTAGTAGGATAAACTCATCGATACTATGACCTTTCAAAATAACTTAGACGATATTAGATAATTGCTTTTTTTTAGAGCATATTCCGAATACAAATAAAGTATCTCCGATATCTTTGAAATGCGCAAGCGCGTGATGTAATTAATTCGGAATTTTTAATGTCTGCGAACAGCAAAACCTACCGAATTCTTTCTGCACAAAAGTAAGGTTAGAGTTTTTGTTTTGATTTTTATTATTTGAATTTAAGTATTTTTTTAACAAGTACAGCAAGTGTGTCGCCCATTTTTTTTAAAATGCCTGATAAAGGAGGTAAGTTTTTTAACCCAACCATAAATAAATAATTAAAAAATTACTATTTTGTTAGATCTGCCAGAGTTTCTGCTATTTCCTTCATGTTGTCAAGACCAGGATGAAGTGGAATCCTTTAAATGGAATTACACCAAGACTCTTATGTTTTTGGACCTATATAAAAAATATAGAGACTTGGTTGGGTCTTTAAAAATTAAAAATTTAAATAAATGTATGAAGAAATTGCTAAGGAGTTGAGACAAAAAACCAATCAAAATATAACAGGATCAGATTGTGAAAACATATGGAAACATCTGGAGAGAATGTTCAAGAAATATGTGGACAACAACAATAAAACTGGAAGAGGAAGAAGAGAGTTTGAGTATGCAGAAGCAATGGAAGATATTTTGGGTAAAAAACGAAACATTCATCCTGTTGTATTATTGTCATCCGACACAATTATTCATCCAACAACACAGGTGGTTACAGGAGATAATTCTGAAAAGGAAAATCTGGTAGAATTTCCTAAAACCAAGGAGCTACTCAGCACCAGCAGCAAGGCAACTGATGTAACAGCTCCTCAAAGAATTACAAATATGAATAAAAATAAAGAGAGAGAGAGAAAATTAACAGAAAAAAAAGAAAAAATGACTTTCTACAGGAAAAAAAATTAATTAATAAAACAATATTTAGAAAGATCTAATCCACACCTTGATATCCTTTAAAAGGTTTAATCTTTTTGTTCAAAGAATTTAGATGTTAAGTTTTGAATTACATATTTTAAGGGAATTTTGTTAGGTTTTTCTATATTTATTTAGATCAAATTTAAATTAGTATAAGTTTTAAATTGTACAGTGTTTTTATTTTAGTTAGAGAATTTCGTTGTTTTTTTTGTTTATTTATTTTTTCATTATTTAGACACATTACATACTAAATTACGAAATTTAAGCTACCTATTCATTACTTCATTTCTTTTTTTTATCCCAGTTTGTTCATCCTGATTTTCAGTTCCTGCATCTCGCCCTGATTGTCCAACAATTACTTCATTCTGTACTTGTGGTGCTGGTGGAACTTCTACTACAAAATCATGTAAATTGTCTTCTATTGAAAGGTTGGGCAATACAGCACAGGCCCTTATGAAGTGAACACATAATTCGATATTTCTTAATTTCAAATGGTAAAGTTGTCTGAATTTTTGTTTGAGTATGCCGAAGCAGTGCTCAATTACATATCTATTTTTCGAAAGAAGATAATTGTAATTTCTTTGGCGACGAGTCAAATTACCTCTATCTTGAAATGGAGTTAGGCAATATTGTAAACAAGAGTAACCACAGTCTCCAATAATAAAGTGGTTTCCACATTTTTCTTGAAGTGTTCCAAATAATGGTGATGTCCCAAACACTCGACTGTCATGTACGGATCCTGGGTATCCGACAAATATATCCCTTATTTTGCTTTTATGATCGCAAACAACTTGTGCCTGTGAAAAATAAAATATACTATATAAACATTTAAGATATTATCATACTTGAATAACATTTAAATTGAAATTTAAAATTTTGCTTTCTTACCTGGATCGAAAAAAAAGTACTTCCTGTTAAGGTATGAATCTGGATCATCCTGTGGCTTGTCAATTTCAATGTGTGTACCGTCAATGACGCCATTAATGCCAGGAAATTCGTCTTGCCTAAAGTGGCTTTCAATTTCAATGTTCTCCTCATTAGTTGGCCATGTTATAAATTCTGCAGACAAATTGGATAAAAAATACGTAAATCTCTTAACAATTTTATGAAGAAAGCTAATCGTAATCCCTATACGGTCAGATACATCCCTTAAGCTTGCAGCTTCATTGCTTGCATACCATAAAAAGGCCACAACTGTTTTAAAAGGGCTGGTTTTTTCAGAGTCACCTTTTTGGTAGTGATAATATTGCGAAGCTTCATATCTGTTTGATAATTGGCTTGCTACTTCCCTGCTTATCCTAAAATGCCCCAATAGCTGTTGATCGTTGAATTGGGGCACAGTTTCCTCACAAAAGTTCTCATTTTTTGGAACTTCAAACAATTCGTTCAATTTTTCCAAATCTTCATCGCTTGAACTTAAATGCATCATTGGCATCATCTTGAAAGTAGATTTGAGATAAATGTTTGTTTATATCACAAAGACACAGAATTATAGGTTAGGATTTGTTCTGAATTTTAAATCCCTGCGTCTATCACCGGATCTGTCAAACACATTACGAGCACGTTCAGAACTTTCTTTTTTTTTTAGTGCGCATGCGATGATAAGATGAAGGCGTCCGGGATTCGCTCCGCGAAAAAAGCTAATCAAATATTCTAAATAGTATAGTAAAAGTAGAGATGGAAATCCGGAAAATTTCCATTTTCTAAACTTAGCCTTTACTTGCCGTTACTGATCTTCCAGCTTCTAAATGTGATGGGGAAACAATCCAGGGACAGTAAATCCTCAAATTAAAAAAAGGGTTAAAGAAATATTGCCATGTTACCTGACCAATAATAAATATCTACTGGTAGATGATATAAACCAACATGGGTAATACAAAAGCGATGCATGGATGCCGTGCTCATTTCACTTATGTGATTCAATGCAAGATGCCGTACTTGTCACAGGAATATGCAGAAATGCATTTCATTTATGGATTGTGCAATCGAAATATTCGACATGCTGCCAAAGAATATTGAAATCGACATCCCCGTACAGCAAATTTTCCAGACCGACGTACATTTATGCATGTAGATAGTGCCTATGTAACAGCAGAAATGCCTGGGAGACAAGTAAGAACAGGAAGGCCGAGTATCAGCGTATATGGGGTACTATACTTAACTGAAAATGAGGCTACTAGCAATGTGCACCATGTTTCGCGGAATGCTGGTGTAGCTAGTCCGACAGTACACCGAATTCTACACAGAGAGCGACTGCACCCGTTAAGATTCGAAGTGTGCAAGTGCTTCTTCCAGAAGATTACCCAAAGAGAATCCAGTTTTGCGGAAGGATGCTCCAAGAATACAGAAATGACTCGCAGTTCTTCATAAAACTCTTATGGACGGACGAAGCTTATTTTCGAAGAACAGAAATTTATAAGATAGCTTATATTCAGGCCGATGGATAGGGCGACGAGGAACCATAACCTGGCCACCTCGCTTACCAGACCTCATCCCCATCGATCTCCTTGTATTGGGTTATATGGAGAAATTCGTGTTTTCTACAGAAGCTCCATCCGAGCAAGTTTTAATAGAATGGATTGCTACTGTTAGCAACAGCCTCCACAGTAATCCACACATGATACAGAGGGTTGAAAGAAATTTTCTGTGACAATGCAGAGTTTGTTTTAGAGGAGAAGGAAGACACTTCGAACATCTGGTCTAAATATCGCCTAATATGCACACAAAGAAGAGCTCTTTTCAGAGCCGCAACATATTTTCTGGGATATAGGATCTAATGATCACTTAATTAAATACTGTTGCACTGCTTCAGTAACGTTTTTAACCCAAGATAATTTCAAGGCCGCCTTGGAATCATTAGACCTAGAATGCATTCAGGTTTGAAGTTTTGTTGTCAGATAAGTGTTTGCTCATCTTCTTTGGAAGAATGAAGATCAACAAAGGTTTAAAAAATGGAAATTTTCCGGATTAGGGTATCTGCAGCGTTTTATCTACTTTGCGCCGACACTATCTACGATATTTGACTACCTAATAAATATTTTGGAAGGGCATAGTGTTAAGACGTTTTTCATTACTATGAGCATCTTATCGTATATAATTTTTTGTACAGGTCTCGTTGCATATACTGAAATATTTTTTACAACAGACAAAATTGCAGTTTAGCTTATTGCTGTATCTACATTAACTGGGCTAAATTTTCACTGTCAGCATTTTACCAGCGATACATCATTTAGGAACATATCATGTTAATCTGATTACAAAATAATAAAACAAAAATTCAGAAAAAATAGTACAGTCTCATAAGTAGCGATTTTCCACAATTTCTTAAAAATGGCGATAACCCAAAAACCGTGCACAATCGGATTAGGATATATACTGAAATATACTGTATATGGTTTTTCTATTTGCAATTATCCGCCCTATCAGCCCCATTCACGTGTTCCATGACTTTTAGATCATCATGTATATGTGCTGAATAATGAAGTTTTTATTACCAAGCTAAGAACCGAAGGCCGGAACAATGACCTTATTCAGATTTGGTTAAGACTGCACTAAGGTCGGATGCGCTCCGATATTTACACTCGGAAACCGAGGAGAGGACACAGGCTGATGTTGAAATGGTGCAACAACGTTTCTTAAAATATTTGTATTTCAAGAGAGGAAAATCGGACGTTACGTTGCACTCATCTGCTTATTTCAGGGTGGGCAGATGGAACACCACCTTGGGGATCACTTCACCATTTCATTTTTATAGCTGACAAAAATTTTAATTTTGTCTCCAATAAAGGCTCATTCTTTGATTGATATTCTACCCCATCTCTCTCCCTATGTCTCTGAGTGTCATGTTATATGTCTTAACTTCCTTATCTCGTTGAGTCGTACTTTTTATAAATTCTTAACGCATGTGTTTGTTTTCTTATTGGAAACTCTAGCGGTTTTCTTTTTCCTTCCATAGGTTGACTTTACCTCGGTTATTTATATCGTCGGTCTCCGCACGTATAGGCGTAAATGATAAATAATCTAAAATCGAGTTACGCCGTATTTTCACATGTTTTTTTGTAGTCTCTCACTTCACGAAATGACGTAGCTGTGTATCAGTTCTCTGCTAACGAATAAAATTTTCAGAAAATTGCGTAAGTTATAAAATTCCGAAAACATTTTCACGGACCGCCTTAAAGAGATTTACGCCTCTGCCTTAAAATTGGTTCATTTTAGTCTAACAAAAAAAAACAGCAACGTGCAGACTAAAAAATCAGTATGTCATTTTCAATCTCATTTATTGCTGATTTTCGTTTTTTAGTTCTCCTGTAAAATTTGTAAAATGTTAGTTACGCCGGTACCGCGGAGACCGACGATATATACAGGGTGGCGCATGGAAAACGAAACAGACGCATTTACTGGCAGCTCAGTTTTTTTTTGAAAAACGCTCAGACCCGTCGATTTTGTTTCCGAGGGGGACACAAGTTTGGCAAAAAATCACGTTGCCACGTGCAACCCCCTAAGCGGGGGTGACACCACCCCCAAGATCTTAAATGGAAAGGAGGGTCGAGTGACACCTTATTTAAAAGATCTTTCAATTCCCTTTATAGTGATATAAATTTAATGTACTTCAGCTTAGTAGTTTTAAGGTTTGTTGATTTAAAGCTTAAATAAAACTAATACATCATCATTAGTGGAGATCAATAGATTTGGCAGGAAAGTAATTTGAAAATGAAGAATGAACTGACCCGCTAGGCAAGTAAATGTTGAAAATGGTTACCATGACTCTCCATGCAATAATAAAGATTTTGCTCAAAACGTTGCCGCACATTTTGCAATATTTGCTGTGTATGAACCTCATGATAAATTCTGGGATTAGATTCGGACCAATATCGGCAGTTATGACGATTTACTATGCCATTTAAGAAAAAGGAACATTCGTCGGAAAAGCAAGTGTTGAATAGGAAATGTTCATCGTTTATAATTCGTTCACTCATATCTTCACAAAATTGTAATCGCCGATCAAAATCGTCTTCATTAAGTTCTTGTACCAGGTGAATTTTATACGGATGAAAACTATGAGC